CTGTCTCACTGCGCGTAACGCAACTTTGGCTCAAGAATAAGCTCCGGCTGAAGAATTATCTTTGCCGTATTAGCTAGAAGCTAATCATGTCTTCACGGCCAATTTTCTTACAGGAAAAAAATCCGTACATGAGATACAGTGTTTGATCTCATTCTCTCCCGAATGCTGGCAGCCCTTAGAGCCAGGACGTCCTGCTACCGGGCAGCAGTTGCCAATGTACTGCAAGCCAGTGGGTAGGAGTGGGCACGAGCAAGCTAAACAGTTCAAGCCCGGCCAAAGCCGAGGCCGCTTTACCAAGCTCACTCATGCTCTTCAGAAATTACAGGTAATCAGCCGCATGAGCTCATTCAGTTGTGAGACAAATGTTCTCGAATCTGGCCAAATGATGCGAAACTACATGTTCGGCAGGCGCCTAACAGGGGTTCGCTGAGGGTGCACACGGCACAATGTGATGTTGTGAAACATTGCCGTTCTGCGCCGGTGTGTGCTTAAACAAAACGGAGCAAAGTTGGAGCTGCCTTTGGACATCAACATGTTTGGCAAAACGGAGTTCCAATTGCAGATGGCTGCCCTTGGGCGCACGCTGGAGCCCCGTGTGGAAGCCAAGTAGGTGAATCAATGTTGGGCACCTGGTTTCGAAGGAGAGGGGTGTAGATGTGATACAGTGCTTGATGTCATTCTCTCTCGAATGCTGGCAGCCCTGAGAGCCAGGGCGTCCTGGTACCGGCCAGGGATAGGTACAAGCACGCTAAACAGTTCAAAGCCGAGGCCGCTTTGCCAAGCTCACTCATGCTCTCAGAAATTACAAAATCTTCGCCACACCGCTGAAAAGAGTGGGATGTCCGAGCGAATTTCGGAAAGTCCAAAAATGAAGCATTGGCTTGGCTACGACGAATGCTTTCCCGAGCTTGCATATCCATGCTTTGAACAGCAGCCGTCATCACCTCCGCAAAGTTTCGGCTTGAGCAACTAGCAACTTTCTGTAACTTGTGACTTGCTTACAACATCGTTTCCAACATCGTTGTCGGCAACCAAGAGCGAACATGTCGTGATTGACTTGTTTGCTGCTTGTGTTCATGCAAAGCACTGAGCTGAAGGTTGCCATGAACCGCTTCTCGCAGTATCCGTGGTTCAACGACGAGGAAGTGGAGTTACGTGTCTGATTTGATTTCCCGTTTAGAAACAGCGAGTTCAATTTATCAGTATGTTGGTTCTGATGTATGTCTTCTGTGAACTTGCTTTCAAGCACAAGTTCGTGCTTAGAGGCACGCAACCTTACCCCAGTCGTACGCCCAATGTCACGTGTCACGTACCTAGACAACGGAACTCGAAGAATTCAGCGGATACCGCCGAACTGATGTTGGACAAGTGTTTCAGATGGAACAGGGTATCCTGGAAAATATTTGGTTGTTGTTGACTCTGGCCACTCGTGTGACTTTGCGTTTGTCTCAGGTTGACAATGAGCTCGTCACTCGCCGGGGCTGCTCGCAGATGCTAGTTTGAATCAGAGCCGGGTGACGTCCACAAGATAGCGCTGTTTCGACTGCTGTTCTCTAGTCACATGAAGGATTCGGAGCTGTTTGTGGAGGATGCAATCGGCGACTGAGCCTGCAAGCACGAGGTTTCGGACAGAGTGGAAATCAAGTATGTCATCCTCAGGTGTGAGGCCGCAAGCACGGCCGAACCCGAGGAGGTCTCCAGCTCCGCCAAGCTCATGTCGTTATGTGGATCCTGCTTGATTGTTCTTTTTTGCCAAGTTTAGATCCAATGAACGACACAGTGACAGGGTTTTTAAATGATGCTGGACGGTGGCAGAAAACAGAGCCCGGGGCCTGCTTTCCTCTCGGATCTTGCGCTGACAACATCACGCAACAGTGACTGTTCATCAGCCACAGGCCAGAAATGGTGGTCATGTGGCAGGATGAGCGCGCAAGGTGCAACATTCGAAATTTGATTGAAGATTCAACTACATTCAACCCGAGCTGTGTTTCCGTTTTCGCAAAGTGCGCAGGCAGCGACAGGCATCGATCCGAAAGGAAGCACGTGGTGACAAGTTCATGCAAGCGCTGATCCATGCAGAGCACGCGTCTAAGCCTATTTCGTTGTGACTGGCATAGAGATTTCGATGACCTTGTCTTGTAGAGGTACAGCTTCGGACAGGAGAACACCATGAAAGACTTCCACGTCAAGCTCAAGCCTTATAATAGAACAATCCAAGGAACAACACCATCATCAGTCACTCGCCATGAGGAGCTACTCCCTGGGGTCGGGAGACATTGCGTTCACGGCATGTATCCGCGCAAGGCGAGTGTCTGCGTACCGAGTGTTGAACCTGTGCTGTAGGAAACCTTTGACGGGATTTCAATGCTCTTGACAGGGTGAAGACATATCTTGCAGGACTGTACCTGCAAAGGATGGAGGTTGGACAGACTTAGAGTTCGATACGACCTCATGTGATCGCTTGTGGTGCAGGCTCACCACGATGCCGAGCGGAGGACCATGGCCCTTCTCAGCGAGGATGTGCCTGGCGATCTTCGATGTCATCTTGCCTGACATTAGTCGCGCATGTGTTTCTTGGTTTTGTTGTTGTTGTTGATGCGCTCGCCAGCAACACATTCCAGGGGAATCTACTGGATTTGCAAAGCGGCAAATTGCAGCTTCGACGAATTCCCTGTGGAATCCGCCAAGCGACTGGTGTTTCTAGTCTGAAACAAAGAGCTCTCAAACAATATGTGTTCAAGATCTTCCGAAACCGTCATCGCATATAAGGCACGACCCTGATACACTGCATCTGGAAGCGGTGCCGGTTGACCACCACCAAGATTTCTGCGGCAAAGGTTCCACGACTTTGCAATCGCAAAGTTTGCCGACAATGACTTGAAATGCCAATTTTCTGATAGGACCTGCGGTCATGGTCTCGCATCAGTCGAGCAGCCTGGTACAGAGGCTTTCGTCGGTGTCGAGGTTCGAGCACTCATCTTCTACACCGTAGCAATCCGTTTGCTAGCGTATTTGTAAACGGACCAGGGCCAAGCGCCGCCAGCTCTACCGCGAAGCTTCGTCTCCAGGACTTGCGAGCAGGAGCGAGGTGCTGTGCCATTATGCAAAGCAAACACACCTGTCAAGTGAGAACGCAGCTCTGACGCCGAAACAGGACTGGCTCCGCTGCACAGTGGTGTGCGCCAGGAAGGCCAGGCAAGACTTCCACTTAACCCTTTTGCCAGTGGTTGAGAGAAGATCTTGCTATATTGCTTCAGGAAATAATGACAAGTTCCTTGACACCTGCCTTATTGACAGCTTGCGTGGTCTTGGTTACAAGATTCCTTACTCCCGCGATGGACCGTTCTGGGCCAAAGCCGATGGGGATCGGTTTCTGGCGCCATATGGGCCACTAAGCTGCATACGGATAGTGGACTATAACAGAAGCAGCCATCGAGACACACTGAGGCGTTGCGTGGTTGCTGTCCCCATCAACGCATTGAACTCCCACGGCAGCTTCGTGGTTTGCTTCCGCGAGCATTTTGTAGCTGTTCGCAAAAATGAAGAAGGTCTTTGGGTAAACCAGACACACAGAACGCATGAATGGAAGCCGCTGTGTTTACGTACTCGGCTTGGCACAGCGCTGGCGTGGTCGCAAGAGCAGAATCACTACGAGCTTAACCTTCTGGAAGTGGACGGCGTCTTCCGGATTGAGGCACAAGGATGCATGTAATGATTGTACAGCAAATGTGTGAGAAGTATTTCTGTGTTGTTCCAGGCATTGGACGAGAGTGCGAATGTCTATACCCACGATGTCAAAGCATTCGACAAACCGTCTTCTGCATGCAATGTCCTGTTGATGCGTTTGCTTGCGTTTGAAAGTTGCGGATGAGCTAAGGCTGAACGCAGCTGGAGACGAACTGCAACACGGGTCCGTGAGTCTTGATGCCGATCAGGCGGGCTTCAGTGTGAGTGAAGGCGTCGATTCAGAGCTGGTAGCTCTCGTTGAAACAAGTCGTGTTTGTAGTTACAGTGAACCTGTAGAGGTACTGCTTGAAGATGATTGCACGAAGGATGTCACAGGAGGGGCAACGTTCCTGCAAACTTACTGGGCTACATTTCACGGCTTCATCGTGCAAGAAGATGGTGAGCGGCGACAGTATCTGCCGATTAACAGAAGATTGGAGAGCATGGCGAGACTTTTCTTGACAGCACGAAATGCAGCGGTTTTCTTTGCTCACGGCCCTGGACGCCGTTTGTCAACGCACGATTTCTGGCAATGCGTGCGACGTTTTCCTGTAGACTTGCAGTGGGAGGTCTGCCTCGCGCTAGGAGAACAACACCTTGTGCTTTGCGTTGTCCCTACAGCGACGGCGGCGGAGGTACCTGTCTCTGGTTGCCTGGTGCGTCCACCGTTCGAAGATGTGACGCTTGCACTGCTGTCTCTCAGCTTGCCACTTCGGCAAGGACTACTTCAGCATCTAGAGTTGCAGGATTTAGCTTTTCTGGTTTCAACGTGCTCGGAACTACATGACGTTATCGTGAACCAGGAGTCTTGGAAGATTGAGCACACGGTGTACCTCAGGAGCTTGCCTTCACAAATTTTGTTCGCTGCAGCTCCAACATATCGCTTGTATCCAACAGCATATGCGAGTCTGCACTCAACCCAGAGCATGGCAGGTCAAGCCTGCGTTGTTATGTCGTGCGATTGCCAACTCAAGGCTATAGTGATTGGTTTTGCAAGCATATTCACTTCCGGCACTTCTGATGTGGAGACGCGAAACGCTTGCTCTTGTACTTTCGAAGCTCCATTCCACACAGAATGTAGAACTGGTATTACGTGGTCCGCGTCGAAACAGCCGCCGGCTCATGTTTCATGTCCTTTCCTTGTCTCTACTCGATCTGTCCATGTGTTTGATATCTGTTGGGAAAGACAATTGCTGCGCGTGAAAGTTGATGGCAGAAATGTACGCTGTGTGAATATTTCATGTCTTGAGCTGCAGAATGATGCTTATGTTTACATGTATTGCATCGGGGACGAAGTCTGCAAGGCAAACATGCAAATGGCCTTTGCAGATCGGGGAGATGAGCGTGTACATGACTATGCAGGCGGCTCCACTCTGATGAACGATCAAATCTCTTCTGTGTCGCAGATGCTACAAGGCGAGATCATTGCTTGTGTTGCTGCAGCGCACGAGCTTCTACACTTGCGCCTGTGTAGCAAAGCATTTCTTGAGATTCTAGGACAGGATTCAGTGCTTCGAGGCTCAGTCGTCGATTTGCGGAATGCAAAACCCCGCGCATTTCGGCCTGGAAGCGCTTTTGCAAGGTTGATGCCTATGCTTGCACACGCAGACGTACTCAAGCTGCAGTACCGACATATGCATGCCATCCCCGCAGATTCGATTTGCAGAGTTTTGCTTCATTGGTCCGGGCAAACTTTTCTTCGACGAGAAGACAATCTCTACTCATGGCGGGCTGCACATCCTGTTTGTCAGCGCGCAAGCTTGGACATTGCAGTTTCCTCGGAGATTCGCGTCCTTATTCTTGGCATCAAAAGCCGTGTTCGAAACAGCCCGCCTCAGACTCGAATGTGGGCATCAATTCATAACCCTTTCCGCGCCGACCCCTTGCTGGCAACTCCGGAAAACCCGGACATGTTCACTGAGTGCAACATACCTGCTCACACAGGTGTTCGCTGGCTCAATGTTTGCTTCGAGTGGAATGCGCATTCTTTTGCAGTGTTCCTGGATGACGAGCCGCTGTGCTCCGTTGCTCTCGTTCGCAATATTTCTTGTTGGGCTTATCCATACGTGGTGTCCTGGGCGCGTCCGGAAGCTTCCCCGTTAGCAGTGATCACAACGCCATTTTACCGACCCGCAGGAGTGCCAAATCCTGATTGTGTTGTTTGTGGAGCTCTCGGCCGCACTCGACCGGCAGTTGCTTGCTGTCTTGATTGTGAGCATTGGTTTTGCGAGGAACATGGTTTCGGTGCTGTGCAAGTATGTTTGGGTTGCATGGACGAGCTTTACATTCAAGATCACATCGGAGGAGCCAGTAGTCTTGAGGCGTCCGCATTTATTGACGCAAAACGTTTACAAGCGCTGCGACACCGACAGCTTTCCATTCCGAACAACGCAGATCAGGCGGTGTGTCTGGCTGGGAAACTATTCGAAGTGGAAAGCTGCGTGAGGTCTCGAAGCCCACGCCCTGGAACCAGTTACAACACACTGTGTCGTAGGTTCGACTTAGATTTCTGTGAAAAAGAGTTTCAGGAGTCGATCAGCAAGTCTTGCCAAGTTCGTGTGGACAGCTTCCTTGCCAGTGGTCACTATGCTACATGTCCATCATTGTCCCCTCCGCCTGGAATGACTTCGCTGTACGATCACGGCATGGAGCATCGTCTACCGCCTCAGTTGCTTCTGTCTCGTTTGCCGCGGCCGCTGTTGGATTGCAAACCTATTTCCTTTGATGTGGAGCATCTGAAGGTGCCTGCTATTCTTGATCATCTAAGTCTGTTGCATGGTCATGAGCATGATCAGCACTTGAAATTCGAAGATGCAGGGCATCGTTACTTCTGGAAGAACGAGAGCGTCGACATATCAGTGACTGGCTTGCTTCGTTTATTTAGTAGCGCATTCAAAGAACAAGACGTGATCGACAGCATGCGCCAAGGAAACAACTGGCCACGTGCTGCGTACGTCAAGCCGTATGCCTCGCTTCAGCTGTTGCAAACCGTTCAAGCAATGCCTGGCACGCAGGAACTTGTCAGCCTGCTGCGGCAGTTACCGCATGATCGAGAGGCAGTGGCCAAGCTCGTGCGGTCCATCCCGCGCTCCGATGCAGCGCAACAAGAGCTCGCATGGTCAGCATGAGTTCCAAGGAAATCCGTGACTCGTGGGCCCAAGCGCGTCGAGTTGGTGCAGCTCGAGGAACATGGATGCACGCGCAAATTGAATGCCTTTTGAACGGTGGCTGCGTTACTTCCTGTAGCTTGGAGGTGGCGAAATTTCTGCGGTTCGTAGCTGATGGAGGCATCGGCAGCGCCTGCGTTTTTCGCACAGAATGGCGAATATACGCAACGAGCGAGTCTGTTGCAGGTTCAATTGATTTTGTGGCGCGCGAGCCGGACGGTTCGTTGGTGTTGTTCGACTGGAAGCGTGCTCGCAAATTACATGAAAAGAACAATTCGTTTGGCAAGTTTATGAAGTCGCCGGTCAGCCATTTGCCTGATGCTGCACTTTGGCATTACCGATTGCAATTGAACTTATACAAGTGGATTTTGGAGAAGTATTACAGTATGCATGTGGCCGCGATGTACGTTGTGTCTTTCCACCCTGACGATCACACTTTTGTTGACAAAGTTCAAGACATGCAAGTGGACGCAAATGCCATTATGACCTACCAGAGGCGCCGCTTACAGGACAGAGTTGCTCAAACAGGAGCGGATTGCGTTGGAGGAGCAGCAGAAAACAATCGAAACGACTGTGATGACATAATATTCTCGCAGCTGTTCGAAGCAGAGATGCAGGATATGGAGCTTCCCTTGAGGTTGGGGTGATGATATTTCGAAGATCCTGCGCGTTGACGAGACTTCCTTGCTGTGTGATGCTTCCTCAGATCTTCCGCAGTCTGAGGAAGGTAGCATTCTGCGTGAGGTAGAAGACGATCCAGCAAGGGTGGCTCAGGGCCACTCGTCCTTGTGGCACAAAAGCTTACAGCATGTTATGCAAAAAGCAATCTGTGTGCATCGACTGCGCTTGCTGGACATTTCTCGTAGAGAGGAAGTTTACTTTCTCGAGCTCATTGAAGGAAGCTCGCGGCATGTGCGAGCTCACGGCGGCCAATGTGCAGACAAACTTCCAGAGAGATTGCCCTATGCTACACAGACGCAGTTACTTGAACTTCGTGGCTGGAAGCGATTCGAATTCAACCCATTACCCAAGCCGCTTGCCTGCAAGTGAATGTTTTCTGTTGAGACCGTGGAGTACGTATGTGCAAAGAACCTCGTCTGCTTAGGTTTGTTGGCATCGACGAGGAAACAGTCAGTTCGTTGTTTCCACGATCGCTTGTTGTTCGTTACAAAGCATCGTTCTTGGACCGCGACCACATATTGGGCAAGCTACACCAGCCAGAGGAGCGGCGGTGCTTACAAGACAGACTTGCTCAAACAGGAGCGGATTGTGTTGGAGGAGCAGCAGAAAACAATCGAAACGACTGTGATGACATAACATTCTCGCAGCAGGTCGAAGCAGAGATGCAGGATATGGAGCTTCCCTTGCCCAAGCGCTGCAAAGTCAGTTCGCATGGTTCGGGTGATGATATTTCGAAGATCCTGCGCGTTGACGAGACTTCATTGTTGTGTGATGCTTTCTCAGATCTTCCGCAGTCTGAGGAAGGTAGCATCCTGCGTGAGATAGAAGACGTGCGAGCAATGGTCGCTCAGCATGGCCAATCGTCATTGTGGCACAAAAGCTTACAGCATGTTGTGCAAGGAGCAATCTGCGTGCATCGACTGCGCTTGCTGGACATTTCTCGTAGAGAGGAAGTTTTCTTTCTCGAGCTCATTGAAGGAAGCTCAAGGCATGTGCGAGCTCACGGCGGCCAATGTTTTTTTTTTAGCGAACATGGTCACTGGGCTGTGTACAACGGTGTAATTCCTCAAGGAGTTCTGGCTCGATGCAAGAAGTTTCTGCTCTTCCTTGAAGGTTTATATAGACTGCTGCCGACCGATACACTCCGCACACCAGAATCCATCATCAACGCAGTGTCGCTCTTGCTGCATTCAAAGAACAACAGTGCAGAATTCTTGCTTCAAGAATGTGAGAAAGCCGCGATTTGCGGCAGCCCCATCGTCAACAAGAAACGCAGAACAGCGGCAATTGCACAAGATGATGAGGTCGATGCAGCAGGGGAACAGGATGACAACAAGCCATGGACGCAGGTTATGGCTAGTACTGTGGGCAAGCTGTATGTGAAATTGCGTCCTGGCTGCAAGCTGTTGTGGTTAGTGTGAGTTAATGTAATTCGTGTTGGCTTAGATAAAATGTGCAGATGGAGTGATATCTGGTCGCAAGGCAAAGCTCGTTGCTACATGACCATTTGATCAAATATTATGTCGAATGGTGTGGAATTGACGATCCTCGCAGGCCTGGGTTTTGTACTCGAGATGCGTGTCTTCTGTTTGATGAAGACAGAGGCTTGAAGCAGGTGCAGAAGACGGGCTCGAACAACGTTTACGTGTTCCTTCCGCATCGGTTGCTGGATCCCGTGTCGGATGATGTCAAAAGTCGACTCAGTAATTTCTGGAAGACAACGTATTGGAATAATCACGCGGCTTTCGGATGCTTCATGTCAGCACTGACGCTCGCTATACAAGGAGAAAACGTCGATCGTGCGTTCTGGGGAATTGGATCTGGTGGGGTTGGTCAAAGCCTGCAGACCGCGCACATGGAAGCAATTTTAGGCAGTTTTCACGCATGCCTGGATATGAATATCTACTATTCAGACGAGGTAATGCGTAAACAAGCTGCTTCTTTGTTGGGCAAACTGGTTGTTACTGGCCAAGAATCGGTGCAAGGCAGCCGTAGAACCATGCGTGAAGATGTCTACAAGAAACATATATCGGCAGACAAACTTCCAGAGAGACTGCCTTATGCTATAGAGACGCACTTGGTAGAACTTCGTGGCTGGAAGCGATTCGAATTCAACCAGCTACCTAAGCCGCTTGCCTGCAAATGAGAATGTTTTCTGTTGAGACCGCGGAGTACGTATCTGCAGAGAACCTCGCTTGCTTAGGTTTTTCGGCGTCGACGAGGAAACATTCAATTCTTTGTTCCGACGATCGCTGGTTGTTCGTTACAAAGCATCGTTCTTGGACCCCGACTACATATTGAGCAAGATACAACAGCCAGAGGAGCGAGGCATTTTCCCAAAAGATCCAACCCTGAAAGATTTTCTGCGATCGAGCCCGGCTTGTCTTGTAACATTGCGAGCACTGTGGCAGTATGCCCGAGACCATAACGCTGCGGACTGCAGAAAATGCCTTGACGAGTACGTGGTCGGAGGCAAGGACGAAGGCTTGACAGAGTTGTGTGTCAGGCAGGCGTGTGGACTGAAGCACGCGTCGAAGCCAGAAGATCCTCCGCATGATGTTGATACTTCCAAGACAGAAGGTCAACCGCCAGCTGTATCAGAAGAGGTTCTTGCAGTTTTACGCAAGCAACGAGATGAGATTGCCAGTTGGATGATCCAGGTGAAAAAGGATTTCTGTACGCGCGGACAATTACGAAGTGTTAAAGGCAAGCATGCGTGGACTGCATTCAGTCGTCAAGATGTAGATGACGTTCTGGATGCATTGGCTGCGCATAAGCTCATGCACAAGAGCTCTCTGACGCTGCCCAGGTTGGGTCTGACCGACGTCTTTTCACCAAAGATCTCCACGACAAAATCTATGACGGATGTCGTCGACATGAAGCATGATGACGCAGCTGCTTTTCCAGAAGCATATGATTGCCAGTCGCTGAAGCGACACATGCTGAGTCATAAAGGCCGTCTTGCAAACCACGAGGTGTTGCAACAAGCTCATAGGACAAAAGCCAGAGAGCTGAAAAAAGGCAAAGGCGGTGGCGCAGGTGTACCCACAAAGGAACAACGCGTGCTCCAAGATGACCAGGAAGGTTTAGTACAATCAATGTGCAACCATATTCGACAAGAGCAAGCGCTCTTTGCCGAAATGCAGAACTATCTCGAAGACGGCGGCGTCGGTGTGGAGCAACATGAAATGGTTGTTCAACGAACATATGCATATAAGCTGGAAATGCGTTGTCGCCGCAGTGTGAACGGCTCGGGTGCACAAAGCTTTTCAAAGGTGCTTCGCAGCATTGTCTGCAAGAACATGCGGGATTTTGATTTCCACGCGAGCATGTTCACCATCGTGGTGCAGCTTGTGGACAAACTCGACGCGTCGTTCAATGACGTGTTGCCAAGCTTGAAATCATGGCGTGCTATTGTTGACAACAGACAAGCAGTGTGCGAGAACATACTGCAATGCAGTCCGGTCCGAGGCAAGGCACTTCTGTTGCAAGTAGCTAATGGTCAAGCAGTGTCCTCAGCCGAGGATATTTGTGAAAAAGGCCAGCAATTCATAGAGGATTTGTCCAATGAAAGCCGATGCTTACGTTGGCTCGCCCGAAGTCTGTGCCCGGATATATATGAGAAAGTGAAAGATGGTACCGACGGATTCAAGCAAAGCTCTTGGCCAGAGGCAACAGTCTTCTCGTACTGGTGGTATGCTGCAGAAGATTATTGTCTCAGCAGTATGTTGGATTTATTCCAAGATCTCCATGCACCACGCCAGCACATTTCTCTGCACTTCGATGGCCTTTTACTGTCGGATGATCTTGTGCAGGCTGTGGAACAGAAGCACGGCGGTAAGAGCTTCGCTGACATAGCTCAAGCTCAAATATTTGAACGCACTGGGTTCCGTATCCTTATAAAAGAAAAGCACTTCAGATCGTTGGTGGAGCAGCTGTCGGACTTGGAAAATACATCTTCGCATTTGGATTCAGTCGACGAGACGTCATTGACATTACTTTCATTGCCATGCAACTGCATACCCTTCGCTTATGCCTGTGTAACAGGCGAATGGCTGTTTGTTACTGAGATGCTGCAGAAGGTCAACCAAGCGAACACTCGTGCAAAAGAACGTGGCTACAGATGCTACAAAGACTGGTCAGAGTACAACCAAAGGTTCTTGAAGCCATGCTTGACATTGCCTGCCACACCAAATACGTGTTTTCTCATACACGCTGATGTTGATGGCGCGCCTCGCTGCTTTGGTGCTAAAGTCTTGGCCGATAGTCAGCTCCAAATCTTCCACGAGCGCAGAGCGTGCACTTTGCCAATCCTCTCTTTAGAGGAGATTCTTGCTCAAACGTGTGAGACTTTCAGCGTTGTCTTTTTCAGTGTCCAAAGCGTGAAGCCAGAAATGACGGCCTCGGAAGCAGAACTGTTGGATCTAGTCGCAGGTTGCACTTCGAACCGTTGCCTGTTTACAGACAGGCGTGGTGGTGGTGAGGCTGGCGATGCAGATGTGCAAGTTGGGCAACATCTACGAGACCTTCTCGAACAGGAAGTGAAGGACGCAATTGGCCAAATTCAACAGCAGAAGGGACATTCGTTCGGGGCACAAGTCTGCCCGTTGTGTCCCTGGCGACGTTTCGAAAAAAGAACCTACTTATTGACGCATATCACCAAGCACCACAGTGTCAGCAAAAGGTTTGTGGCATCCGGCACAAAGCAACTTCGCGTCATTGCTGCCATGTACGATGACGACGCTGCGCGACAAGCATCCCACAGCAGATACATGAGTCGTTCAGCAGAACTTCTTCGAAGCCAAGTCAAACCTGGAGTGTCTTCCAAGAAGAATGTCATTGACAAGGACATACGCCTTTGCTTGACGACTAAAGGTCCTTCTTTCATGTCGATGCAGAAAATCAAGAAGGCCAAGGATTTGAGACGCGTCGGAAATGTCTACTACGACCGTTCCTTCGCAAATGACTTTATGTGCAATGCTGTAGCAAGCCGAGCATCTTTCCGGCAAATTGCAGCCTCTTTCACATCTTCCACCGCGCGACATCAAGGCGCGTTATGCTCCATGCTGCCAGAAGCCAGTCATTCGTTTTGGTGCAATGTATTGGAAGACTTAACTCAATCGCCGCAGATCAAAGTCAAGCTCCAAGATCTTCTACAAGAGTGTGAGGCTCATACCGAATTCGAGTACTTAAGCATCGATGCCACGGTCAAGTGCATGATGAAAATTATTGGCCAAGCGCACTTCAACAGCAGCCAAGACTGTCGTGATGCTGCGGCAATTCCTGATTCAGCGGCTGCTTACAAACTTCTGACAGTGCGTGGACGTACGAATGCTGTGGTTGGCTTGTGTGGAATTCGGTCGGAAGGTTCGCGAGAGATTGCATCTGGCTTGAGCAGCGTGCTGACATTGTGTCAGCGAGCACAAGTTCTGCACATGGCATCAGACTCGCCGAGTGTGGAGCTTTTCGCGACGTTGAAGAATACATTTCCGAACTTGCAGTCGGTTGGCCTGGATGCCATGCATATCGTTATGGTTTACGAACAAAATCATAACAACAAGAGAACCAAAGGCAGCAGGTGGCTGGCCACAGTTATGAACAAATTTCGCAACATTGATGTGGAATGCCCTGCCGCTGCCTGGGGACCTATGTACACCGGACAGCAGCAAATTCATTACACAGCTGAAGAAAAGAGACTGTCGGCGTTGGTTTCCAATGCAAGTATGCCTGAAGCTGAAGCTCTGGGTATTCTGCAACAGCTAGATCCTGATAGTCCTTGGCGAACAGAGTCACAGTTCCTAGAGGCGATGGCTGCAATATGTACGCTATTCCAGGACGAACTGACAAAAACAACCTTCTCCGGTCCCACTTTGCATCGACTCTTGATTAATCTTACATCGCCTGTGAAAATCCAATGGCTGTTCAACGACACGAGATACCGCCACGCGTGTTCGCCCTCGCAAACGCCGTTGCTGCCGAGCGGTACTACATCTAACGAGTCACTGCATCACGAACTGAACAGTTGGTTTCACGAAATCGCTGCTTGGCAAAGGTTATATGTTTTTTTTAGTTGCTCTTGTGGCGTAGCGTGGTGCAAGCTTGGAGAACTAAGGTGGCGATGCATCGCTCCACATTGGAAACGAAGCTGATCTTTTTCCAGTTTGTGAAACTGAGCAGTCACAATCTGTCGTTATATCATTCTTTGCAACGACAGAATACACAGAAGCAACTAGCCCATCGCCTTATCGGCATGGCAGACATTTGGGATTCCAAATCATGGAAGGCTTGGTGTCGGGAGCTTATGCAGGACAAACGTGCACCCAAAAGAGCGCTGCTGGCTGGTGCAGAGCAACGCAAAGCTACCCAAGCAGCAGTCAAAGCAGCTCCGAAGCTGTTTTCCAAATCATTTAAAAGGCCTAGCTCCGCAATTCCTCCGCCGCCAAAGCGGCAGCGAACTAGGCGTCATCCGTTCTCACTTCGCGTCCTGGCTCCGTTAATACGGCCAGGTCGCCACAAAAGCCGTGCAGCAGCGACTGCATAATGAATTCGTCAAGCAGTTGACAGAAGAAGTATGTAAGATTTCGAAAATTTCCATTACATTCAAACTGCTTAGACTGCACAGGCTCAGTGGATCACTTCGATCTGGTTATTCATCATGTTCGGCAGTGCTGAAAACAAGCAGTCCATGTGCTCTTCCAACAATCCTAAACCATTCCGGTCATAGTTCTTTTCATAGCCGTGCAGTCAAATTTCAGCCAAGGCGACAGTCATGCGCGTGGAGGTATAACAAACACTAGAGTGTTTAATGCACGAGAAGACCTTTTGGCCAAGATGCGCTGCTACAGCGTTGGAGCGACTATCAGTCATGTAGACTTTGGAAATCCTGCGTGCCTTTACATAACTTACTTACATGTTCGACTGCTGACGAAGTGCTGCTGTGGTAAAGCCTGCCTCCGAGCTCGAACCGCCGCAGCCTGTGATCCTGGTTTAATTTCCATTGTGAATCCGTGTCTGCTGTAAGCTCTAGAAGTCTGAACAACACGGAAGGTATTAGTTCCTGACAAAGCTTTAGGTTCTGAATGCGAACGGAAATCGATGCCTTGTCCAATTCGTAGGTGTCGCAATTACACTATGAGCACGATGTTATGGTCAGCCATGTACGTAGGGCGAGTCAACGCTTTGTGGCCCTAGCCCATTTTCTGTGCGGAGCCGCTTGTCCGTATAATCTTCGTTCCGTGCCCTGTCTCAAACGCAACTTTGTGACTCAAGAACCTGCCGCAATAGCTCAAAGCTATGTCTTGCATACGACCTAGAAGACATGAGCCATTCCCCTCTGCGCAAACCACTCGCTAAGTGTTGTGCTAGTAAGCTAGTAAAACATCTGTTGCGAGCGTGCTTGCAGCGGAACGCGAGTGTACAGGAATACATCGTTGTCGAGTATCACCATCGGACCGAGCACTGCTGTTTGCAGTCGTTGATGTCGAATTTTGACTCTTGCCCAAAACAAACCCCAGCGCGTGCTTGTGCTCGGAAACTGTAGCTGCATGCTGTTTACCATGCATGTCGGTTAGTTTTTGCTCTGCACACTGTGCGTCGAAGCGATGGACTGCTGGCAACTTATCTGCACCAGACCCTTGTCTTCGTTTACAACAATTCCACCAACCGAGCGCTTAACCAACACTAGAATTTCGAGTTTGTATATAACTCTTGCCATATCAACAACTAGATCCGAGCAGCCATCGGGTTTCTGCTTTTTCCGTTGCTTTTGTTCACTCGTGCCTTCTACAGGGAGGGTGAAGTGGTGAGACCACCCGGGGGCACGGGTGAACAAAATTATGGTTTAGTAGTGTATGCTATGGTGTTTATGGTTCACGCTTTAATGGTTTAAGCTCTAGAGTAGAAACGGGCAGTCCTGAAACCAGGTGCTTGAGAGTTTATTGTTTTTCCGTTGCTTTTTGTTCACCCGTGCCTTTTACAGGGAGGGTGAAGTGGTGAGACCACCCAGGGGCACGGGTGAACAAAATTATGGTTTAGTAGTGTATGCTATGGTGTTTATGGTTCACGCTTTAATGGTTTAGGCTTTAAGCTCTAGGGTAGAAACGGGCACTCCTGAAACCAGGTGCTTGAGAGTTTATGGTTTTTCCGTTGCTTTTTGTTCACTTGTGCCTTTTACAGGGAGGGTGAAGTGGTGAGACCACCCAGGGGCACGGGTGAACAAAATTGTGGTTTAGTAGTGTATGCTGTGGTGTTTATGGTTCCTACTTTAATGGTTTGGGCTTTAAGCGCTACGATAGAAACGACCAGCCCTGATGTCGTGGTTTAAGGGTTAGGCTTAGACGTTAGGTTTTAGAGTAGAAACTGTCTTCAAATCAATTGGCACAGTTGCCTTCCGTGATACCTCAAGCCAGCTGAGTGGTGGCGGATGATCTCCATCTTCACTATAGTCTCACTGCAATCGATACCAGCGACTATGCAAAACAACGTTGCCCAAGAACGCGCGCCATGGCTGTCAGGCTGTTCCTGTGAGCTCTTAACCCCGAGACCCAAACCAACGCTTTTCATCTACAAATCATACTCCCGTATCCTGCCCCCTATCGATAAAGGTCTATGGCCTGAAGGGTAGGCCAGTAGGGATAGGGGTCTATGCCTTTTCAAATAGCCATGTCTTCGATAAGAGTCTATCCATTCCAATAGGCGGCTACTTTCCAGACTATGTGTTACGTCGGTGTGTGCGGGACTATGCAGTCTTCCATGGTTTGGCAGCTGTCTTCATATGGGAGTTCTCTGTAAATACTAGCGAGCTCATCGTGTAGGAAGTTTCCAAGCACGAGGCGACTGGTAAAAACCCACAGCGGGAGCTTCTAAATAGACCCGGTTTTGCTCAGCCACCCCCCCCCCCCCCCCCCCCCCCCCCCCCCAAATAGTATGGGTAATTATTGAGGCCCCATTCTAGATCCTGTTGCAGGGCCCCCCGCCCCCCCTCTCTCTCAATCCAACCCAGATCCTCAAACCTTAATTCCCAGAGAACCCAATACCCCTCTATTAAGGAATATAGCTTAAACCATAATATGAAGCCCCAAACAATCTAAGCCATATTCCTTAATTAAGGGGTATTAGAATCCCCTAAACCCTAAGCCTGTAGATCCCTTATAGATCCCCCTTAAAGGAACCCTAGGTATTCCTCAATTAAGGGGTATTGGGCTCTCTGGGTTCTCCAAAGCGTTGCTAGCGATCCAACGGCCTCGGTAGAAGCCGGTGCATCGGCCATGGCCACATCGGCGGTCTCGCGAAGAAGCTTCGTTTTTCCATAGTTTCTGGATGCATTTTTAAGCACCCTTTGTTTCGTTGTTCATAGTCTCAGGGTGCTTTTTAAGCACCCTTTTCTTCGTTGTTCATAGTTTCAGGGTGCATTTTAAGCACACTTTTCTTAGGTTTTGGATAGTTTGAGGGTTTAGGGTGGTGTTGTAAATACCCTTTTCGCTGGCCCGCATCCGCAAGCGGTTTTCCCAGACTTTGAGTTTGCGGCTTCGTCGTCGACGGGTTTATAGCGGAATGCGACGGCTCTGAGGCTTTGCTGGCTGCCGGGCTACCAAGTAGTGCAGCTCACAGAAGCAAGGGATGACACGGCTGACAGGGTTTCCAAGCTGGGAGCGTATGATTGAAAGTCTATCATGTAATAGGCTTGTGACTATGACGATATCGACGACGGGAGAACTAGGATCAGTTCTTTACATCACGTAATCTTCACATGCGCGGCCGCTACGAGGAAGACTACTACGGCGTTCTTGGTTGAACAAGACGCCGAGAACTGTGGACGACCATGCAAAGAACAATCTGCACACGACTACAAAACCAATGACACTACTTAGCCGAAAAGAAGAGCAACTACTCATTACTTGTACATTGACTCTACATCCCAACAATAGCACACACAAGCCTCGAGTTTCACTTGGAGAAGCAGACTCGCTCAAAACAACCTCTTACTCTAAACCCTAAACCCCTCAACCCTAAACTCTGAAAAGCTAAATCCACCCTAAACCCTAAAGCCCTAAACAAAAAACCCTACACCTTCAGCCCTTAACCCTCAAACCACCCTAAACCCGAAAGCCCTAAACCCCTACACCATAAGCCCTTAACCCCAAACCCCAAGCCAAAGATTCCCAAAATATGGCCTCAGGAGCCTTCTCGGCTTGCTTAGCAGCCACCTTCGCCAGGGCCCCAGCCGTGGCTGCCTCGGGGAAGTTCGAGCTTTCAGGCTTCTAGGGCTTGGGGTTTAGGGTTTAGGGTTTAGGGTTTAGGGTTTAGGGTTTAGGGTTTAGGGTTTAGGGGTTTAGGGGTTTAGGGGTTTAGGGTTTAGGGTTTGGGGCTTAGTTTTTTCCTAACAACCTCAGCGGAGCTGTAGCGCTAGGGTTAGGGCTTAGGAAGGTTAGGGTTTGGGGTTAGGGGCTTTAGGGTTTCGGGCCCAGGTGTCAAGGATGAAAAGCATACTGAAAGAGCGTTTAGGGTTCATAGGGTTTAGGGGTTTAGGGGTTTAGGGTCTATCGATTTCTATAGTGGAGGTTGGGAGCTGCAGAGTTTCGAGGCGTAGGGGTTACCAACAAGTCTTCCATCCGGTCAATCCTGAACAGCCTCTGAACTCGAGCCTCTGCCTGACTGACAAGCTCCGGCTCCTTAAAAGCTCCCAAGCTTAGAGCAATAAGCATCATGGCTATAAACTCAGAGATGTATATTCGACCCTTTTACTTCAATCCTCAAAACGACGCCCTGACAGTCTTAGCCTAGTTGCTGGTATCTTTCGCGGTTCCGCAACCCAAACCCTCAGGGGTCCAACCCAAAGAACCCAACATAATCCCTGGAGTAGGAGGTGAGGCTTTATGTTGGAATAGGGAAGCTCCTAAAGCTACGCCCTAGAGCATAGGAACCCTAGGCGCAGCAGATTAAGTTTAAGATACCTCCAAAACCGACTTCTTAAACCCCAGCACTACTACTGCCCAAACCCTACAGGGTGATACTACTTACGTCCTAAACCCTAAACCCAAAGTCTACACCCCAAACCCCAAACGAGACACTTCCGGCGTGCTCGAAGCTGAGCCTCCGGCCGCTGCGGCTTCTGCCGCCACCTCCCCAGGGTCCTTCCAAGCAAAGCACTGCACGAAGATTACGGGGCTTGGAGCTCAGAATTTCCTTCTAGAGAAAGTTAAGGTTTGGGGGGTTTCTTTCATTCGGAACGCACACTTCCGCGACGGAGGTTGGGAATAGCGGGCGCTGGTTCAATCGAGCAAACTTCCAGCTCTCTCGGGTTCTACTTGCAGGTTCATGGCTAGTTATAAGTGCTTTAATAAGGGGTCTTTTAAGGGATCTATAAGGGCTCTATCGGGGTACCCATGAACCTTCCCTTATAGAACCCCTATAGAGCCCTTGTAGATCCCTTAAACGACCCCTTGTTAAACCCACTTATAACTACCACCCATGAACCTCCAAGAAGCATTAATGGTGCCGGAGTTGGGGCTCCGTCGTTTCAAGGTTCGGGGTGCGAGAGTC